AGCTTTTCACGGAAATAATACAACAACAAAAAAGTTCGAGTCGAAAAAATACCGAACTTACAAAATTTTCATTTTTTTCCGCGTCGCGCCTAATTTGCTTAGTTGCCTTGATTGAAGGCCTGAAATTAAAGTTTAGATATGATTTTGAAGAGAATTTCATGGCGCTTCTATCTAAAAAGGAATTTGTTTTAAAGGACCTAAGGAACAGGAGTTCAAGCAAAAATACCGAGGTCGAGTTCACCGTTAATTTTTCTTTTTCGTGAAGCACATTTCTAAGCCTATGACTTTCTTATTATATGAGTTAGGTAGGATCAGTCATAGGCTGTTTTGTAGAGCGTCTTTTACTGCATCTTTTTATCATAGATACACATTTTTAAGTATATGTTTTAATATAAAAAAATTAATTATACAAATCGATTCAGAACTTCTGGACCACCCTTTATACCATTCGATAGAGAAAACAATTCTCTACATGTTGATGTGTATTACGATCAAAAACAATTCTTGACAGTACCTCAAAAACTTCTAAATATCTGAACCCCTATAGGTTTTACAGAGATCTTATATTTTTCAAGTTTGATAAAACAAAAAGCCAACTCGAAGGATATCATTCGATAGCTAAACAAAAACTGAATCGAATTATGTCTTTGCTTCCTGAAAATAATTGAGAAAAAAGTCATATTAATTATTAATTCAAATTAATATTTCATATAGGTCTCTCGATAATTTTGGTTTTTAATCTGTAAAATCAAATTGAAAACTTTTTTCAACGGTAAAGTCTTGTAGAGAATTTTATTTTCTACCAAATGATGTTCTTGGATAAGCGATGATTCTTTTTCTCGAATATGATAAGACCCTATCTTTCGAAGTACAATTTACAATCAATAATGAAAAGAAAAAAAAACTTTTCTGTTCTGTCGACTTATATACATTTCATCAGCGTGAAGTGTACCAGCAGCAGAACGAAATTTTTTTTTCTTTCCTTTGTATTCTGTAGATCGTATTTAAAAAGATAGGGTCTCATCATATTCAAGAAAAATAATTATTGCTAACTCAAAAAACATGATTTTGTACAGAATTTTATTCTCTATAAGATTATATTGTTGAAAAAAGTTTTCAATTTGATTTTACAACTTAAAAACTAAAATTATTGAGAGACCTATATGAAATATTAATTTGAATTAATAATTAATATGACTTTTTTTCAGTTATTTTCAGGAAGCAAAGATATGATTCGATTTAATTTTTGTTTCTCTATCGAATGATGTCATTTGAGTTGGTTTTTGTTTTATCAAACTTGAAAAACTCAAGGTCTTTGTAAAACCTATAAGGCTTCAGATATTTAGAAGTTTTCGAGGTACTGTCAAGAATTGTTTTTGATCTTAATACACATCAGCATGTAGAGAATTGTTTTCTCTATCGAATGGTATATAACTCAAAATTTTTTAATGCAGAATACAGTTGCCGTAAAAGTAAGATCCCAAGTATCCAAATACTTTTTTTTGCATAGGAAATCAAGCAGTTTATAAAAAGAAAACGTCAAAAACTTCACAAAAAACCTTCTTGAAAGAATTTTTTTGTTGTAGAATAAAGTAGAGACTTCGGTCTATCGAATGATATAATCGAAGTCAAAAAAAAATTCTTTTGTTTGTGAAATACGCTTCACAAGACAAGTGTTACAGGGCGTCCAAATAAGTTTTTTACATACTGTATGTACAACAAGTAGAACACAATATTCAAATCAGAAAGATAGATTGTGCATAAACGTTTCAAAGAACATCAGATACTTTCGGTGTTCTCGACTCATACGTTAACTCCTAGTCTTCTTACTTATTTGCAAGAATGAAAATAGAACAGGATGTGGAATTACATTATACGTCAGAGCAATGATCTCTGACATAAATAAATATTATCTAAATAGCACAGACTAAATACAAATAGTATTTTCATAGTTACCATAAAATAATGTCCAAGAATAATTGGAGTCAAAAAAAGAATGAGTGAATACACTAGCTCTGAATCCAGATGAATGCAAAAAAGCTTAAAAAAAATATGAAGAGAAATACGTTCATCATCCTCTTTTATAATAGTAATCACTGATGCATAGACTGTTCATTTCACCTTAACGAAAAAAAGCAAGCAGTCAAATAGAATAATCGGTAGGCAATGCTTTCTTTTTCGTCTTACACGTCAAAGACAATCGTTAATTGATCTATACAGAGAAAGAAAAAAAGAATACAATAGCCAGCTCTCTTACATTGACAAAACATGTGCAGGCAATCAAGTACGAGAGCATGCATACAAACGATTTTTGTCTTTCATCATACCTGTAATCACCGTTTGTTGATATTTTCTAACGTATGAAGAGAGGATCAATGATGCATGCGTAGATTATCTTGAAAGTGAGGATCAGGAGTTGGAGGGCGTTTAAATTTAGCATATCAACAATTTTATTTATATATAAGGATGCTGAGAATATAAATAATGATAAAACAATTTTGATTTTTAATCTGTAAAATTAAATTGAAAACTTTTTTCAACAATATAATCTTATAGAGAATAAAATTCTGTACAAAATGATGTTTTTTGAGTTAGCAAAAATTATCGAGAGACCTATATGAAATATTAATTTGAACTAATAATCAATATGACTTTTTTCAATCATTTTCAAGAAGCAAAGAAATAATTCAATTCAGTTTTTGTTTCTCTATCGAATGATGTCATTTGAGTTAGCTTTTTGTTTTATCAAACCTAACAAATACGAGATCTCAGTAAAACCTATGGAGCTTCAGATATTTAGAAGTTTTTGAGGTATTAGAACTTTTAATTCTAATCATTTTGATAAAAAAATTTTTTCGAAAAGCTTTTGTTTTGACAGAAATAAATTCAAAATATTTTAGGCACCGATAAACTTAAAACCTTCGAGAAAACGATTTTTTTTTGAAAAAATTTAACAAATAGTTTTTGATAGTTTACATCACTAACACAAGCTCAAAAATGAAATCTAAGACCATATGCCGATTCCTTGTGAGAAGGCATATCGAACCATACTAAATTTGATTTGAATTTAAAAGGAAACTCAATCTCATGTATGTTCGGACTGTTCAAAAATACGGGATTAGCTTGCGTTCTTGATTAGTCAAAATGACTATATTGCTTGATATGGTGGCATAGCTTATTCAATAGAGCGTCGCTTGCTCTACGACTCTAATAGTACAAAATTATCAACGTTTTTGATACGGCTAAAATATTGCGTCAACTTTCTTAAGTAGTGCTTTCACCTATATATTTCTTGAGGCCGGCCGATTTGGAAATATGTAATTGTTACAAATCACAAGACTCAATTTCAATGAAATTTGTAGAGCTGTTAAAGCTGATTGTTTTGGCAAAAAACTATATATTATTTGATGATATTGTCAATGCTGAGATATATTATTCGTTGAGAAACTTTATATTGATAAGTAAGTGAATGGTAATTTCATATTACATGCAATTTTTCAACACTAATGGGATATTATATTGAAAATATGTAGAAAAGATATTTCTAAAATAGGATTGTTCTTATAGAAGTTTGGACTTGATACATGTTGTAAGATCAATTCTAAGCACATATAGATGACATTATGCACTTAATCACTTAGCATTTTCAAATAAAATATAATTGATACATAGGGTGTCCAGAAAGTCACTCCTCAAAACAAAAACATTTGATTATGTTCACAATGCTTTAACCAAATGATCTGATTTTTTTCTGAGGATACAGGAGAGGTTCAAGTTTTTATTCATAAATAAACAGCTTGCTCGTACATCTTTTATTGTTCAAGTAATCACGCAGACGTTACAAAACAGAACGGTACACACTGCAACGCATTTCTTCTGTCACTAGTACACAGACTTGTTCACTTCTGTCGTAAAGCTCCACAATCGTAGCAGACGACTTCCTGAACATGATGTCCTTTAGATACGCCCAAAGGAAAAAGTCGCACGGTGTTCAATCCGATGAAAACTTAGAACTCTCCTGTATCTTCAGAAAAAAAGCCAGCTCACTTAGTCAAAGTGTCGTGGAGATAATCAAATGTTTTTTTTTAAGAAGTGATTTTCTGAACACCTTATAGAATTGGATGTGGGTGTGATTCATTCACTCAGTTTAACCCACACCCATATCCACATAAACTATGGATCTCCTTTAGATTAGAAATGTGTCGCGTTGATATTAATACTGAACATGCGTCATCGACAAAGAATTCACTGGAACGTTAATCCCACTGGGACCGATGTTTTCTGCAATATTAATATCGAAATTGGCTGCAAAATTGAGATATGTATTATATCAACGCTTATGCCTTTTTTCTAGCAGTGCACGTCAATGTTTCAGTGAACGTTGGTGTCCACTTAGAGTAGCTACACTGAGTCATTGGTTAATGATGTGAAAGCACAATTTGTTAGTTTAGATAATAATAGGACTATCATCAAAATCTAAGCTTTTATGTCAAACTATACACTAATATTGGTACTTCTTCATCCACACACAGGATCGTGCCAGTCAATATGTATATAGAGTGCGAATAAACTGAAAAAGAACCCTATATCTAAGGATTTGAGATGAATATGTAGATGTCATCAACAAAATATACATTGTAAACTCTGGTTTTTCGGAACCACATATATTTCAGAAGTAGATGTTTTGTACATAACAATTCTATTTGGTACACTAATTATTAAAAAAATATTGATCAAATGTTTGGATTTTACTTCTGAAATACGTGTAATGTTGTAATTGGTTTATTAACTAACCAATGAAATTCTGTTTCGTCGTGAGAATTTACACTAAAAAAAAATAAATGACATTTTTATTTTTTATTTTGTGATTTTTATTTCCAATTTTTAATTTCTCTTTGATAAAACTTTCTTTATAAACCAATCATCAATGAATGATAGATCTTCATTGACTACCTAGTTAATTTCATCATTATTTTAATACAATATTGATTTCTTCTATTATGACGGATTTTACAAATACAAGATCTCAAACTCTTGGAAAATTAGGTGAAGCTGAAAATACAATAAGCAACATGCTTCAGAATGCCGGTGAGATCCTTAAACAATTAAGTTCTGAACGAATTTCTCATGAAGAAGTTGAATCACGTGCACAATTTTTTTCAGAAAATGCTCGAAATGTTCAAGACTTATTACATAGAAGTGTAGAAGATCTAGAACGTATATCATCTGGTTTACCACATGAAGATTCATGTTATGGAACTTGGTTAGATTTTAATTTAGCTTTAATGAGAACAGAAACAATACGAAATAAATTATATGAATTAAAAAATAATCCTGAATTACAACGAAGTCGAGAACGTGTTAAAGAACTTGAACGACAATTAGCTCAACTTTAAGAATAAAATAACTTCTTTCGTAATTAATTTACAAATATTACGAACTATTCATATATATTTTTTTTAAATTGAATTATTGAAAGAAAAGTTTTTTCGCCTGCAACTAAATCTTTATGCCAATGTTCGAGTGTAGAACTGCGAGAAAAATAAACTGAATAGTTGAAGAGGACTATAGTGATTGAAGTCAATTTTTGTATTTACGAATATTGTTATCATCTTCTATAAAATTCGTAAGTCTTTACTCATCTTCTTTGTGTGTTGATCGAACTAGCGTGATTCTCTCTCTTCTATTTCTCATTATAAATAGTTTCAAAAGAGGATTTTTGAACATGTGTTAGTTGAATAGCTTAATTTTCTATAGGTTATAGCTGGTTATGTGCGTGACTTCAAATGAGACAAATATCCACAATCAAACTAACATCCGTACCAGCAAGTGAAGAGAGAAAACTCAATTGAAGTAAATGCGACTCGATATTGTTTCTAATCTAGTTTATGTTTGTATTGTTCAATTATACGACTATAACTCAGCTGATACATGAAGCTTTCTCGACTCTACGGAGGTTGTGGAATGTGCAATGGAAAACATAGTAAGGGTGAAGATCTTCGTTTCATCTCGCATCCATATTATCGACTAACATTGTATCAATATATTGATTGTATTCGTTCATTGTTGTCATTCAGTTTTTCGCATGTCGATTTCAAAATTTTTATCGATAGTATATGAGTTTGATATAATGATGAGCTGAATCAATCGTTTTGGTCCCACTTCTGGTAAAAAAGAACCGGTTGCAGTCCGCATCAGAAAAATATTTTTAGTTCTCGTTTCGCGTTTAGTAGTGCATGTACTAGCGAAAATGTAATATGATTTTCTAAGAATGTCTATAATCTCGAGACATCTTGCATGACTAGGGATGAGCAGGATCAATTATTTTTGGTCCCGGTTCCAGTGTCAGTTAAAAAAAATTGTACTCCCATTGGGACTGAGATCATGCTACCTATATCTAGCCTAATGATGAGGGTATGGATGTGACTAATAAGAAATACTCACATTCTAAGGCTCGACGAGTTAAGCTATTTCTCGAGTCCCAATCATTTCGTAGTGATTTCGAGTCGAGTCAACTTGTTTTTGCCATTTTCTCGTTTTCTGTTTATTTTTATAAAGCACGTCCACAATAAGCTTTTCATTGTATGATGTCTAGCTTCTTGTTTTCATCCACAAAAACAAAATAAGAAAAGTTACCGATAAAATAAAATGACACAACTACTCTAGATTAACCAACAAAGTAACAATAGTAAGATCAACTCTTCTCTTTTACTCTATAGTTTCACATCACAGTAAAACAATTATCATTTTTTAATAAACAACAACTAAGCTTAAACTTGTTTACAAGTAAAAATTATTTATGACCATTTGAATTAATGTCTTATTGTACTTTAAAGATACTAAAATATAAATATTAGCTGTTATAAAGTCTGAACGATTTGATCTCATTAGAAGACCACTTTAAGAAAACATACATTCAACTGATGATGATATGGCAAGAACACACAATTCTTCTCAGTAACCTTATTAAGAAATCGATATGAATTTGCATTTTTGAAGTGTAGAGTATGACTGTAATGTGTAGTACAATTGTGATTGGGGCCAATGGAAGATGATCATCCACACTCACACCCTAGCCACACTGTAAAAAAAAACGTAAAATACTACACCCTAGTAATTAAGAAAAATTTTCCTAAACCCTTAGAGGGTTTTTGAGCGGAAAGGTTTATAAGCCTAATAGTATTTGAAAATAAAAAGCGTTTAGGACTAATAAAAAAGAAAGTTTATTGTACTAGAATTTAAGGAGCAGGGTTTATTGCTCGACCCTTGCATGAAAAGGGTTTATCATTCACTGCAAAAAAAAGGGTATAATAATAAACCATTATTCACAATGTAAATTCTCATAAACCCTTGCAGAGTTCATAAAAGCAAGAGTAAATGAAAAGAAAAATGGTTCATGACTGCTAAAAAAGGGATTTTTTATATTAGAATTCCCAGAGAAACTTTATTACCTCAATGTTAAAGGTATATTAACCTATGCTTTCAACAAAAAGGCTTCTTATTTTCCAATAGGAGTACATTGTTCTTTAGCGTTAGATTTTGTGAAATAAATTATTCAACAGTAACTGTATGTAAAATTCAATAGCTTTATTTGTTACGTTGGTGAAGTTAGCCTCATATTCGAGTAAAATCTTCCCATATTCTTCCAGAAACATGTTTCAATTGTTTCAGTAGTGTTCCAAGTACAACTCAAGGAGCTCTATGAAAATATTCATAATACAGAGTCGTCATATGAAATATAAATTCTAAAATAAATTTCGTTCATTGATGGATCAATGATAGTAAAGGGTTAACCGTCAAAAGTGTCGCGATTTTAATGACATCGATTGAGAATGACGCACTGAAAGAAATAATATTCATCAAGAAGTTTTGAAAAGTCGATACATTTCCTTACTGAATGATTCATATAGCATGATAGTTATGATAACAAAAGGATTGCTTCGTAGAATACCTATGTGAATGACACAAACATATTCTAGTATATTATGGGATAAAAACGTAAAGTACTGCTATCCTGATCGTTTCGGAGGCAAGTTTTGGCGTATGGAAAATTTGATTATACCGTTAGATACAGCTCGTCGAGTTGTACTTGGAACACCATTGAAACATGTTCCTGGACGAATATGGGAAGGTTTTACTCGAATATGAGGCTAACTTCATCTATGTTTATTTATTTGTATCGTTTAGAATCAGTCGAACATGTTATACAAGAGTATGTATTTATGAAACGAAAAAAATTATTCATTTTTATCACTTAGATTTCGTTGAACAACTTAAGCAATCGAAAATATGCACCAAATTAGATAAACTTCTTTTAATTTTTTTTTTTCGTTCAGCTTTCGTGGAACAACTTATTCGACAGTAAGTATTTATAAAATTAAATAACTTTCTTGTTGTTTTCGTTTAGATTTGCTTCAAGAACTGGTCAAAGTTAAGATACGAATTTTGGCTCAGAGTAAGTTTTCCGAAACTCTTCCAAAGAGTTTCAGAAAGGGTTTATTGATTTCCGAAATCCTGTCCTAAACCATTCCAAAGGGTTTAGGAAAATGTCACATACGGCAACAAGGATTTATTATTTGTTGCACTTTAATAAACCTTTTGAGGCTTTATTATTCTACGTTTTTTTTTACAGTGTATTCCCACACCCACACACACCACCCTAAAGGTATTTAAACTCATATTAAGCGAAACATTCAATCAGAATACTATTTTGATTATAAATTAATACCAGTCTGTTTCATAGTCTCGTTAAAACTAATAAAATCACTTGCTTAAATACAGAAAACTGCTCATGAGAAAAAAAAATTGTTTAATATCAAGAAACTAGCATAGTCAAAGACTATTTAAATATCTTGGTCATAGTTAGCACAACAGAAGAATCATTGCTAGGATTTAAAAATAGAGCACACACTTAACAAATATTAAATAAAGAACTGCTTCCTCAATAAAAAAAAATGTTGTAGCCATATATAAACGTTCGTCCTTCTAACTATCATACAAGTAATCCTAGCTGTAGATTATTTTCCAATATTTCGTTGATACATTGCTTTCCTTGATCACTAATTGGATTGTTTTGAAGGTTTAGTGTAGTAATCGTCTGTTTGAAATAGTGAGTGAATGATAGGATGAAAAGGTTTGAGAGATATGACTTTGTTTTTTTGGAGAGCATTGGCAAGATGTTGAGCTCCTTGCGGACCAATTCGATTGTGTTGAAGGTTGAGATCGATGAGTGTCTGTGGGAAATAGTAAATGAACGATAGGATAAGAAGATTGAGTTGGTGCTTTGTTATGTTGTAGAGCAGTAGCAAAATATTGTGCTCCTTGATTATCAGTAAGATTGTCTCCGAAGTGAATTCTGGCGAGTGTCTATGTAAAATAATAAGTGAGCGATAGATTGAGAAGGTTGAAGAAATGTTACTTTGTTTTGTTGTAGAGCATTTGCAATTTGTTCTATTCTTTTACGAGCCGATTTCCTTGTACTGGAGATCAAGTATGGTAAGTGTCTGTGTGAAACCGTGAGGAAGTTAAAATCATCGAAGAATTTAGGAATGAATCTCATAATTAAATCTTTAAATGCTAGAAATTGTTTTATTAATCGGATATACAACACAGTTCAAAGACAGCTGTTTCGCATTTTTTCTTCTGGAAAAGAAAGCACTTGAAGATGTTGTCCGGTATAATAATTGTGATGAATGTAAAGTGTCTGCAAGACTCTGTCTGGGCTATCGCAAGGCTCTCAAGATGGACGAAGAGGCTAATAAGTTTATGACAGACAGAACACACTGTGAGACGATCGTCGTATATTAGCGTCAATTTCGACTGAAAAAACATGTCTCATATACCCTCTATAACAATATTCTTGGTCTTTTTTGAAAGTATTATGACGTTGATGTTATCCAATAACAGCAATGACAGTGATTATGATAATGATACAAAGGAAAAATGACCACTAGATCGATGTGCAAGGGTGGATCAATTCAACTTTACGGATCGTTCTTCCAAAATGGATGATAATCCTTGTGTATGCTCATCTACTTTCATAAATGCCACAATCTCATTGGTATCTGGTTCTCGGAATACAAATGTTAGATTTCAATCACGAGATCGAAACAATCCATATGGGTGTTGGTGTTAGTTTTAGTCTTCAGCTCACCCATACGCACACCCCAAGTTGTTCAGTTTATTCTGATAGTGATCCGGTTTCTCTGGTTCAATTTCAATAGATGTACTCTGCATTGATGAAATTCCGATCGTTCAAGTATCGATTCTAGCCTTATTCTCAGATTTATTCATACTAAACTTTGATGAGTAATATTATTCTATGAAACTTCAAGTCTTTTACTGAACCACAG